GCGCGCGATACGTCCCTCGAAATACAGTATCCATCGCGGCGCCCGATACGTCCCTCGAAATGGTACATCCTCTTCAGTACTCATTTTTTCTCAATGCACATAACACTTGTCACAACCAATGCCTCAGAATAATGCAGATAACAAATTCACACAAATGATGAGGAGATGACCATTTTCATAACATCGCACAGTTCACAACCATACAAACATGAAGTCATATCAACAATGATTCAACAAGCCTTCAATCATTTCTCATCAAAATCACACATAAACAATTAATCACATTGCCTTTTGTTATCCCTTTTTTTCATCATTATAATTAATCAATTTGGACAACTCAACCCATCACCAATCCCATTACTCTCAAACATATGCCACAAGGAAAACACGCATTTCATACACTTAACAAGAGTTTAGAAATCCACTTGCCTCAAATAGTCGAACAATCACTCTGTGACTTGAGTCTTCCTCTTTTCGTTGGACTTCCAACTCAAAACAATCTATTCATATTATTAGTCATAATAAGATTTCGAACCCAACAAAACTTAAATTACTATAGGTCTAGTCTAAACACAAAAACTCACTCAGATATGTAATCAAGCTCGTAATGTTGATGTCAATTAAGATGTTAACCCTCATATTTCCAAATTTCAAGTCTAGGGTTATGTTTCCCTTCTCCTATATCATAAATCTAATGACATTCATACAATACAATGCCCTTAATATTTAATTACCTATCTCATTATAACAAAATATGAATTATTACTTGATAACTATAAGAAAATTGTGAAACTAAACCAAACCCATAACCATTATACATACTTATGGCATATAAAGCTTTAATTTTGGTAAGGATATCACATTATTCAGTATGTGCAATCACAACAATAACTCCTTAGGAACATACATATAATAATGTAAAAGCTTGAATTATTCCTGTATTTCAATCCAAAATTATAACTTCCTTATTCCTCAACCACTAAACACCTTAGTTATACATTAACCCACAAATTAAAAAAAAATACGATCTTAACCAAATTTAAAATCAATTGATAAAAACACTTTAGAATTTAACCCTTTGGTGTTAATGTTTTCATAAATAATTGTATAAAATAATTCAATCCAATTATAGAAGATCAGTCTTCTTACCCGATTTAAACACATTGTTCCTCTTTAATGACGTAACGTTGCCTCTCTTCTTCTTCCATTTTTTTTCTTGTTACACTGCGTGATCCTTTTTTATATATATATAAATTTATGCGTGACTGCTGCTGCTAACAACAGCAGCAGCTTTAACCTTTTTTTTCTTTTTAATTGGGCTTAGCCCTTTTTTTTATTAGTTATTATTATTATTATTATATTTTTCTTAAAATTAAGTACATTTATTTTTCTTTTATTATTTTGCAAAACTTAATTAACTATTAATTTATTTTAAAATTTGTAGCACTCATTTTTATAAGTCATAAATTATTTATAAAACTACTAAAATAATTAAGTTTAGATAAATGGGTAATATTCATAAAACGAATAAGGGGGTCGTTACACACAAACATGTGAGCTTATCAAATTATGATAGCTAGTACCTCATTACTTATTTATGTGCATTATTCAATCACTTGTCTTCTTTCAGACATATTATGCACTAATACAACATTCACTTTTGTAATGGAGTAAATTTAGTAAATTTCATGACTCTTCATTTAAAACACATTAGTTTTTCTTTAGTCATTATTATATCATCAATATGGTGTATTAAGACTCAAAATTCAATGTCTTATCCATATAAAAGTGTCTTAGGTCATAAATCGACGTGTCTTGAACCCAATATCTTATCATCATAGTGCATCAGGAGTTTAACCCAATGTCTTACCCTCTTTGCGCGATTAGACATAAATCCATCGTCTTATTCTTTTGGTGCGATAAAACTTAAATCTATCGTCTTATCCACAACGGGCTCAACCTCAAGCCTTCAAAATAATTTAATTTTATCACTTTTGATGATCATTAATATGATCGTATATTATAATTACACACAGAATTGAGATTATTAATTTCTTATAATCAACATTAGTAGTTAATAAATATACCTTAATAGATCACATACCTCATATAAAGGTTGAAAACATATCTTTCACTAAATTGTGCTTATTTAATTATTAAAATAAATTAAGGAATTCTCTTCCCAGTCGATTAAAATTAAATTTATAGAAAGTCGACAAGTCTCTTCAAATACTTACTTTAGATGGTACCTCCAGATCTGTTACATAAGTAATTATAACATAAAGATAAATCATACCTTGAAGATATAAGAACCTTATTGCATAACTTATACAAGATCAACTTTGCACTTTTTCCGTCTTCTTCATCATTCTTTAAGAATAGAACAATCGTGTTGATAACGTGTTATGAAGTTATATAAATTTAGAAGAAGAAGAAAGTAGGGAGAAGAGAAAAGACTTCTTATTTCTCTTGAAGTATATTCAGGATTCAGAGATCTTTCACAAATCTTATTTACAATGAATGAAAACCCTTTATTTACAAGGAAAACCTTACGTGGTCCCCAAGTAGGATTCCTAACCATATCAGAGTAGGACTCCACATAATTAGACATTCACTATAATACAAATTGTTTATAATAATTTTTCAATAATATATATATATATATATATATATATATA